ATCAGAGAAGATTAGGTCCCCTTTACATGGAGACTTGTCTAGTTGGATAAATATATGCCCATAGCAAAAAGCTAGTCCTGTTTCCTGAAGTAGACACGAGGGGTCAAAAGAGGAATTGAGTAGTGGGTAGAACTTTCCAAATCAAATTGGACCCCTTCTCCTTCCTTCCATTTTTTCTTTCTCTGTCTGAATCCGGGCCTCCAATTCGGTGTCTTAGAAACACAAGGAGCCCTGGCTTCCTTAATCTGTAGAAAGAGGAGATGTCTAACACACATTGCTTTGCAAGACTGATTGTGTCTGGACTGTGGTGAGGCTGTGAGCTGCTTGTCTTCAATCAAAGCAGGAAGAAGAGAAGACTCTTCTTTGAATCCAGAGGGAACCCCTGAGCTCTTTATCTTTGTATTAAGAAGGCTTTTGAAGATAATAGGTGGAGAAGATTATGAACGCTCAAGAACAAGAAATGTCTTGAGTGTTTGGAGTTTGATAAGTTGGGAAAGGTAAACATCATCATATATTCAGGATTGTAAACTCCATCCTCTAGGTACCCCCAATGTCGTGACATTGAAAAATGACTCTTAACAAGAAAACAGAGGACCCCACTCTGCCATACAGAATCCAGGCAGCCTTCCAGGGCATCAGAACCCTAGATATTTAGCAATTTCTATGTCATGTCACCAGTACCCTGTGTTCTTAAGGAAACCATTAAAATTCAGTTACAGGCACCAAACCATAGGCGCAAGAAGAAGCTGTGTTTGGCCAAGGTGAGATTGGAGTCATATTTTGACAATTTGGAGGAATCAGTGTGTGGTGGCTAAAGAAGTAGTAGTTTTTATCATGGGTGGGGAACAGCAGGGAGGCAGTCCTTTGTGGCCTAGAAGTGGGTTTGGGATAATGAAGTGTATTCAGAAGCTCGGTAATGACTCCAGCCAGGAGGCACTTACTGCCAGGGTGTTCTGGCCTCACAGCCCTGACACGAGAGCTGGCAGGGCAGTAATTAAGAGGTGGTCACTTTTTTGGTTGGGGGCAGAGCAGCTCCTGGGACCTCTTCCTGAGTCAGGTATTGTTAGTTATTTTATCTTCAGCCTTTGCGAACAGGTCATCTGTTCTCAGGCACTAAGAACAGATGACCTTGAAGTGGACCTGCCTGAGAGACTGAAGCCTTCTACTGCTGCCTAGTTTGAAAAACACAACTTAGAGGCATCTCCAACTGGGATGGTTGAGGGTTTCCAACTGCGAAGAGCAGACGGCTAGATTGCAGAAATTGTGTCATGGCAGCTGCTCTACCAGATTCATGTGGGCTATTTCAGGCCCCTCTCACTTCTAGTGCCCACTTGGTAAGACTGGTGGGTCCTCACCTTCCACCTGTGGTCAGTCCAAATGTTGATCTCTGAGGAATGTGGCTTCTCTGTCCTTGTGGACATTGGGTTGGAGACTCTAATCCAGGAGTCCTCAAACTTTTTAAACAGGGGGCCAGTTCACTGTCCCTCAGACCGTTGGAGGGCCGGACTATAGTTTAAAAAAAAACTATGAACAAATTCCTATGCACACTGCACATATCTTATTTTGAAGTAAAAAAACAAAACGGGAACAAATACAGTATTTGTATTTGCATGTGGCCCTCGGGCCATAGTTTGAGGACCCCTGCTCTGATCCCAAGAAATTCAGTTGTTCCCCAGGCTGGCCAATACAAGGTCAAGTGTTCTAGTAGGGAACCTCAGGATGGATTGTGAAGTCATCATGGGAGGGAGCCAGGTCTCGTGAGTGGTTTATGAATGGAGAGCACAACCATAAAGGCCTGCATCTGACACACACACACACACACACACACACAGTTTCAGCATTTGTGACTACAGAAATCCTCCGTTCCGTCACAAGTCCCAGCAGCACCACCATCATATCAGTTGGGGACAGCTCTGAGGGCTCACCAAGGGCTCGCTCTGTGGGGCTGTCTGCAGAGGAAACCATGGCAGGTTGCTAATGGCTCCTGTCAATTGACTTTCCCCACTGAGTGGGCATGTTCAAGCAAAGTTCACTTTGGTTTTTAGGTCAATTAAGGCATAAATCAAGGCAGAGAAACCTGATCCAGGCTTCTCGGGCTGAGTTTTTTTCCCTTGGTTACTCATTGTGTTTGCATCAGAACAAATTTGGATCTTGCTCTGTACCACACCAGAGTTCAGGAAACCGCCCACAGGTTACTCAGCAGGTCTCATCCATCATGCTCAGTCTCTTCTCTGTGCCTCAATCCCTGGGGGTCTATAAAGCATGAGCTCTTTATGGCAAATAGTGGCTCGCTGAATTGTTACAAAGGGCCTTGATCATCTTTCAGTCTCATCAGCACTCTAGCCATGGAAGACTCAGTACCAGAAAAAAGTCTATATATCAGACTTCCTGGCTCTCAGCAGGCAGTTTGAAGAAACCCAAACCACATTTCAGATTCGGTTCTCTTATCCAGGAGAAGCGAGCAGCTTCGTGCTTGCCCTGTCCTGGCTGAAGTCTGCTGGACTGAAGCTCCAAGCCAAGGCACCGATGAGCTTAAACTATGTTTATGAGACCCACCAAGAAGCTTAGAAAGTGTCTGGAACGAGCCCCCTGGCTGGACAGCTTCCCTCATCTTCCAGCTCCTGCACAGGATTTGACTTTTGTTCCATCCCCACCTACTTCATGTCTTCGGAGGCCACTTCTGTTTTTCTTGTTTCAGTGAGCTTTTTTAGTAAGAATTTCTGAGCTGGTTGCCTCAGTCACAAAATTGGCCCATAGTTGATATGAAGACAAGCACATGATTAGGCTTTGCCTTTTTTAAAAAAAAATCCTCACCCAAGGATATGTTTTTATTGATTTTTTTTTTTTTTTGAGAGAGAGAGAGAAGGATGTGTGTGAGAGAGAGAAACATCAATCTGTTGCCTCCCATACATGGTCTGGCCAGGGATCTGACCCACAATCTAGGTATGTGCCCTAACTGGGAAGCAAGCCTGCAACCTTTTGGTGTATGGGACGATGCTTCAACCAACTGAGCTACTGGACCAGTGCAGTAGGCCCTGCTGTTATTTGATTTTTCATCCCACAGCCAGCTGGACTTTCTAACTGGTCAGTCCAGGCTGGAGTCACTGAGGCCCAGGCAGGCCAAATGACAGCCAGTGTTTTCTGGAAAGAACTTGTCTGACTTCGTCTTGCTTTCTGGTCTTTTCTGGGAGGTCAGGAAGGCAGTGCTTTTCATTTCTGCATACTTCCTGTGTGCCTATGTCTTTCATGTTCTGAAACAGTCTCCAGCTCCATCCCCTTCCGTGGCCTGGCACCTTTGTTTCCCTCGAGGCCACACCAGGCAGCCTCATGAGAGCCATGTTTTTTTTTGGAGGAGGGTAATAATAAATCTAATGATCATAATTTTTACAATTTAATCCTTTATAAAAAAATCAGAAGCTTCCCGTGCCTATGTTCCCATCCTGGGTTAGACATTATCCCGATTTTGTACTTGGTGACAGGGTCTTACACGCCTCCCAGAATGAACTGCTTCCCTGGAGGACCCAGTGGCTTCTGAAGGGAGAGGGCTGCCGGTGCCGCCCAGAAGCACACGGTGAGCAGCTCCTTTGATTCTTCTGCAGGCTGGTGCTTTCCAGCCCTCAGCCCCTCCGCCATCTAAGAGGGCTTTTCCATTTTTGTGAACCTGCTTCATTCGTTCACACCGTCCTGAAGCCAGAGAAACCAGTTGAAAGGTTATCTTTGTTCTTCTTTGTCTTCAGCCTCCTTATGTCAGTGTTAGTTGGGTATATTTTCATCATGCTGTCCCAAATGGGTACTGACTCTTCCACTGGATTCTACTGTGGAGAGAGGCGGAGTAGAAAATGGGGCTTCTACACCCTGCTTCTGTTCTCCCTAAGAAGCACAGATCCTGAAAATCTGCTCTAGAATCCTCCTCATATGAGTCTCTGTAATGGTAATCCTTGAACTTGGGCTGCAGATTTCTGAGGTCCAAGAGTTGAGAGTCCCAGGCATTGCTTTCTACTGACCCCTGAGTAGCCACTCCCTTGATTGGGATGAAGGGTTTCCCCCAGGCTGCTCTGACACAGAAGAGGTCCAGACCACCAGGCTACCATCCAAGGGAAATGGTGGAACTGGCGTTGGCCTTGAGGGGAAGGGGGGCGCGGCAGAGGGAGTTGCTGCACCTCAGACCTTTTCCTGCCAGACAGCAAGCTCAGCCCTTCTCCAGCAGGGTGTAGGGCAGGTTGCTCTTCACATGGACATCTATGAAGGATTTCTAAAAGAGTCAGCATTTCCAAAGGCATGCAGAAATGACTTCACCTTACATTCTGTCTTCCTGCTTCCTTGCACTAATTTTTTTTTTTTTAGAAGAGTTGCCAATGTCAGTTTCCTCATTGCTTCTCAGGTGTTTCATACTCCACAGGAGGTTCCATCAGTTTTTGGAAGGTTCTCCTTGTCGGGGAGTCTTCCTGTGTTTTCCTTCTCAGGCCTTGGCCTCCAGGTTTTTCCGGACCAAGAGACCCATCGCCTGTCTGTGGGTGGTTCTTCAAAAGACTTGGGGCAAAAATTTGAGGGTTTCCTGGAGTCAGGGGTCTAGGAGTGTCTGAATCTTGCTTGGCTAGGCAACTTTTCTTCTCAGGTTTCCTAAGGGGTCATAGTGGAGGATATGGACTCCATTTGTGCAATAAATACTTGAGAGTTTTTTGTGTACTGTGTCCTGGGTGTTGCACATATGAACTATGAGGATAACAGACAGGATAGGGCCTCATCATGGCTAGAGACAGACACATTAGATCATTTCTGATTGTGGTACACAAAACAGGGTAGAGGCCCAAGAGAGGCTGGAGGGTGGGGTTAAGGGGAGCTGCCTCCACTTTCTGGGCAGTGAGATAGGCATGAGCATAGGTTCATTCTGGAGGTGATCGGGAAAGGCCTCAGGGAGGCCACAGTGAGTAGACCTGCAGGAAAAGCACCCAGGCCTTGGGAGTAGCACATGGCAAAGGAACATTGAAGCGGGACAGTGCTGACATACTCAGAGAACAGCAGAGAGACAGGTTGGAGTATGACGGCAAGGAGGAGTGGTATGGGATGGACCAAGGGTCCTGGTAAGCAGTCCTGGACCCTGAGAGGTGAGGCTAAATCTCCAGAGGCTCCTGGTTTGAGGAGGGGCTCCTAGGAACATTCAAATTCTTAAGGAGACCCAGATGCCTGAGGCTTTGCTGTGTCGTTGGAAGAGGTAAGAAATTTAGGTGTCATTAAAAGAGCCCCAAAATACATGCAGCAAAAATTGGCAGAACTGAAGGAAGAAATTGACAATTCAGTCATAACAGTTGGAAACCTCAGTACTGCACTCTCAGTTATCAGTAGAATATCCAGACAGATGGACCCAGCAGAGTGCACTGTCCCCTCAGTCACGAGGAACCTTCAGGGTAGACCCCTTGCTAGGCCACAAAACCAGTCTCAGTAAATCTGAAAGGATTTAAACCATACAGTCTTCTTCAAACACAGTGGAATGAAATTAGAAATCCATAGCAGAATGAGCCCTGGAAGATTCACAAGGTGGAAACTAACATAGATGGCCAGCGGGCAACAGGAAAGTTATGTATGGAGGCCTGTTGAGATTGAGATGCTAGAGCAGGGGTGGGCAAACTTTTTAACTCGAGGGCCACAATGGGTTCTTAAACTGGATCGGAGGGCCGGAACAAAAGCATGGATGGAGTGTTTGTGTGAACTAATATAAGTTCAAAGTAAACATCATTGCATAAAAGGGTACAGTCTTTTTTTTTTTTAGTTTTATTCATTTCAAACGGCTGTAGTTTGCCCACGGCTGTGCTAGAGGAATCTCCTCTGCAACAACTGAGGCTGCTCGGGCCTAACAACTTTCAGGAGCACTGGCTGGGCTGCTGGCTGTTGCCCTGTGCGTAACTTAGGAACACAGTCCTTCACTGCTTCTCCCTAGTCTTTCACTGAGCAAATGCTGAGGAAGCGCCTGCTGTGTGGTGCCGCGGTCCAGTCCCCTCCTGGAACTTTGAGTCTAACGGGACCCTGATACAGAGTAATGAGGCCAAAGGACCAAGGGTTTTGTTCTCACATGGGAACTTAAAGAGAGACCTGAGGGAAAGGAGGACATCAATGGATAAGGAGTCAGTGTCTACAGAGCCCAGAGAGGGTGATCATTTCCAGATCCCAAAAGTCAATCCAGGAAGTGGCAGATCCCAGTTCCTACAGAGCCACGGGGTGGTAACACAGCTCTTTATTATCTGATGTCAGTCCCGGTCACTGCTGAGTCATAGTGCTGTGGGCTCAGGAACCCCCATTAAAGGGTCTTCAAACCTGGCCCCTCAACTCCTGGCTGTCCCCAGGACATTATTCCAAATCCCAACTCACCTGTTTATGCCTGTCCTTGAGCTTTCAAACCCTGTCCAAGGGTGTAACATCCAGTGGAAATGAGCTTGCTGGGAGAGCAAAGCCACTGCCAGGTGTGAGCTATAGCAAGGACTGGCACGTTGGGCTGAGCAAATGCCACCTATTTATCCAGTTGACCCCGTGCCACTTCCCTGTGAGGGAGGCACCAGCACCCTGTTTTCCAAATGAGATAGTTTGCCCAAGGTTTCCCATTTAAGCAATGGCATAGCCAGAAAAAACTCTCTAGATCTAAAAGCCTTGAAGAGGGGGTTGAGCACTCTCATGCTCCACTCATGCCCCATTTGGGCCCAGTGGTGTGTTCACAGCTGCCCCAAGGACTATTGAATAGCCCCGTTGTGAGAAGGGTTTCCTAGCACTTGGATGGATGGTTCCCTGTGAGCTTCCAATCCCCTGAGACACACCTGGGGACAGTGCCATCCTCTCCCTTCACAAATACTTCAGGGAGGCTCTTAGGACACAGACTTGGAGCAAGAAGCCCAGGTTGGTTTTTCTGACTCAAACCCTAGTCATTGATTCACACAGGAGAGATGGTCCAGGTTGGGATCCTTTTCTTACTGTTCAAGCTCTCGCCATCCTTCAAGATGGGCCAGTCTACACACACCCACAAGCTAAGGTGGTGTTTACATTTTTAAAAGATTGTAAAAACAATATACAGCATGTGGTCCTCAGAGCTGGAAATACTTTCTGACCCTTTATGAGAAAAGTGTGTTGCCCAGGCTTTTAGGAGGCCCTCACTAGTGCAGTCAGGTTCCAGCTTCAGGAGGGTGTCAGGTCACCAGCAAGAATTAGCTACCCCAGCTTTAGGAGGGTCCCTCCAGCTCCTCCCTCGCCTACAGTTTAGTTTAGTGCAGTTACTGCCTCCACACGTGCTCTGCCATGTGCAAAGCTCTTTCACACGCACCACCTCATTTCATCCCTCAGCTCCTCAGGCAGGTGGTCATCATCTGGCTAACCATGAGTCTTAGGGGCTTTTCTGAAATGAAGAAAACTGGCTCCTCTGCTGTTTCTTAAGCACCCCAGGAGGAGTGATGTTCAATCTTCCACATTTGCTTTCTGCTGCTTAGTTCCTAAGAAGCATACATCCCTGAGAAGGGACATATAGGAGGAATTATATGTTATCCTGGGTTGGGAGGGACTCATTTCAGGCCTCTTAATTGTTAGTTGTTCACATTCTAAAACTAAAGGTTGTTAAGGAAAGATTCTTCAGCCACCTTCTTTCAGGGTGTGTGTGTGTGTGTGTGTGTGTGTGTGTGTCTGTGTGTCTCTGTGTGTGTGTGTGTGAGAGAGACAGAGAGAGAGAACGTTCAGTGGGTTTGTACTTAATGAATTGTTCTGTTCTGAGTACTTTGTAGCAGACTTTGGTCCGAGGCATCAAAGTTCTAGGTTGCTCTGGAAACAATGGCCTGCCTTGAAACAAGGTTCCTTACCGTGGAATATGCCAGGGCAAGGAATGGAAACCACCACAATCCGGTGTTAGGCGACTGTTTTTATTTTTATTGTTAATCTAAATCAAAGGTTATTTTTTCATTGATTTTTAAAGAGAGTAGAAGGGAGCGGGAGAAAAAGAGAGACATCGATTGGTTGCCTCCCAAGCACGCTCTGACTAGGGCCAGGGATCAAGCCTACAACCTAAGTTTGTGCCCTGGACCAGAATCGAACCCAGTACCCTTCAGTCAGCAGGCTGATGCTCTATCCACTTAGGCAAACTGGCTAGGGCTAGGCAACCTTTTTTTTTTTTTTTAATTATACAGTCCAGCTGCCCTTCAGAGTGGAGAACGGGTCGCTTTTCAGCTCTTGGCAAAATGAGTTTTGCCAGGTAAAGTTTCACTATGCTTGAATTGGGGAGTGACACACCAGTTAGCTGTAACCTGTGGAGAAACAAAGAAGCCGATCCTTGTGCTGTAAATGTGCTGTCAGTCATTAAGAGGGTTCCTTAGCACGTGGCCTGGTCTGCAGAAGGTTCACGGGGAGTGCCGAGCGTGAGATTGAAAGTTCCTCTGTGACTTGGTGGCTGAGCTAAGGAGCTGGCCCTCAGAAGTGTGTCTCAGGATCCATTCATTACGGAGCTTCCGAGCTGTTGGGTGAGAGGGCAGCTTGGCCCTTTCTTCCACCCTGACATGTGCTCTCGTTTCAGAGGTCAGCTGGAGGCTCCAGCCCTGAAGGTGGTGAAGGTGAGGAAACCTCTAAAACGTTTCACTGTCTTTCATTGTAAAAATGGAAGGAGCCTGATTTTCTCCTCCTTCTCGTTGTTTTCTGTAGATTCTGACAGAGAAGATGGAAATTACTGCCCTCCTGTCAAGCGAGAAAGGACGTCCTCTTTAACCCAATTCCCACCTTCACAGTCAGGTAACAGCTACAGACCTTTATTGAGTGACAAAAGCATTCATGTTTACAAGCCCACTGTTCCCCCTTCAACATCTCACGCTCATCTGTCTCCTGCCCAGATCCAGTTAGAATCAATCTGAGACTTGGTCTCTGTCACGATAAGGTTAGAGCTTGCCAGAGGTGTGGCACCAGGCACCCCAGTCTGGGATCAATGACACTTATGGAGGGGTGTGACCTAGTGGACTAATAAGAAAGATGCACCAAGAAAAATCGTCCCTCTGAAATAAAGGGACTCTCTGAGTCCTATTGGGGCCTCTGACCATTAATCACATGTCCACCTTCCAAAAGCTGCTTGGAAGTGGGGGATTCTCCTGACCCTTCTGCCTAGACCTTGGTGGTCCCATTGAGAAGGACACACACATGGTTCATAGTGAGCTGAGTAGTCCCAATAGACACTGTGGTGGTGGATTGCCTTGAGCTCCCTGAGGAAAGGGCTTGGTGGAGGCTTGAAAGGTGGGCCAGACTGGACCCCTGTAGAGGTATCTGGACTGGGCATGATCTGAGCACATGCACAGAAGCCAGAAGACCAGCCACAGCTTATGCAAAGCCTGGTGCAGAAAAGAGGTAGGTTCAAGGGTAGAGAGAGACACTGGGGCTACTTAGTGGGGGCTCCTCGAGCCTGGGGACTCCCCTGTAGTTTGGAGGGTCAGTGCTGTCAAAGGGCTGCTCCCTCTCCCCACCTCATCTGGACTTGGTCCACTCTGGCATTGTCCCATCTTGGTCTCTGTAACCATGACTTAGAGATGCACGTGTATTGGGAAAGGATCTCTAGTTACCCAAATTGAAGTTCATTCTTGCAAAGTTCATATAAAACATTTACAACTGTGAACTTTAAAGGTATCACTTTAAGGAGGGAAAAAAGACACTCTTGGAAAGTTTGTTTCTGCTTATAAAAGTAATGCAGACTTTACAGGAATAGCTGGTGCAGAAAGTGAGCGTCCTCTCAAGGTTGTCTCTATAACACACTTAATTTCCTACCTATTTCCCTTAACACTTTTTTTTTTACGTTGCCACATCCTTTTTCATGACTGCATAAGACCCTGCCCTGAATGGATGCACTGTCACTTGCCCATTAGGCATTAAGGAACTGTCCAGATGGTTTGCAGTGGACATCCTTTTTTAAGGGCCTCTGCCCGCTTGTTGCATAGGTGTTTCTATGGAATGAGGAAGCATCCACTTCCTGGCTGTGATTGTGTTCCTTCCGTTCACTGTCTACTGCTGACCCACACTTTCTCATTAGGAAGGTGTAGCAGAGAAGAGATGAAGTGATTTGTATTGTGCACTAGGCTGAAGGGGCAAAGGACTACCAAACATTTTCTCTCTCTAGAGCAGTGGTTCTCAACCTTCCTAATGCCACGACCCTTTAATACAGTTCCTCATGTTGTGGTGACCCCCAACCATAAAATGATTTTCGTTGCTGCGTTGGTCTAGGACAGTGGTCGGCAAACTGCGGCTCGCAAGCCACATGCGGCTCTTTGGCCCCTTGAGTGTGGCTCTTCCACAAAATACCAAGTGCAGGCGTGCACGTACATTGCGATTGAAACTTCGTGGCCCATGCGCAGAAGTTGGTATTTTGTGGAAGAGCCACACTCAAGGGCCCAAATAGCCGAATGTGGCTCTCGAGCCACAGTTTGCCAATCACTGGGAGATAATCAGCTCCCAATCCTCAGAGGAAATGGAAAGATGAGCAGTGCCAGTGAGATCCAAAACAGGTGGGGGTGGGGAGTGCAGCCAACTTTTGAGCCCGGACTGGTGACAAGGAGCAGGGGCTGAGGCTCAGCCCCAGGTAAGACTTGGTACATCTGGCGTGCTCCGATTTCCTCCTGGCTGCCCCCACGGGCCTAGGGTGCCAAGGAAAAGCCAGGGGCATGAGGACAGGAGAAATGACCACAGTGGACCAGAGTGAACTGGTAGACATCAGACAGAGGCCATTAGGCTGGTGACTCCTCTCTTCTTGCTGTAGAGAGTGTGGAGTATGTAAAGGCCTTATTCATTATGCTGACCCCCACCTCTTACACCACAGTGGGACTTGGAGATCAACCCCTCATGTCTGCCCCACCTACTCACACTGTTTTTCCTCTTGTTCCCCCCTGCCTGCACCTCCTTGCTGACAGTATCAAAAAACAATGTTTTTATGCCATCAACCTTCTGCGAGCCATCTGCAGGCAATTCTGACTCAGAACCAGGTGAGCCCTCACATCCCTTTGCCTTTCACAGCCAGTCACTGGGGGTTTTCCTGGGATGAAAAGCAGTTAATACTGTAAAATAGCACCTTAACAGCAATGGACAGTTTGAAAGCAGAGTTCAGTTTCTAAATGTTTTTCCAACTCTTTAGCTTGTACATTTGGAATCCAGTGTAAGAGAGGCTTCATAAGCCCTTATTTCTGTTTCTGTAAGTAAGCCTGTTTACAAGGATTTTTACATTCTTCTTGAAAAAAAGAAAGAGATGTATTACTTGTTTTTCAAAATTTTACACAGGTAATACATTTATGTAATTTTTAAAAAGGCAGATTAGAAATAAATAGACTTTAAAAAGAATTAGCCTGCCCCTTTCCCACTGACTACCATCCCAAAGGTAACTAATGTGAAATGTAATTTCCCAGACCCCTTTTCGGTTATTAAATTCCCACATTAATTAGTATGGCTTAGATGTGTTCAGATAAATGCATATATTTAATCACAGTTTTAAAACTTTAAGGAAAACAGCTTGCTCCCCTCTGAAGAACATAGAGCCTGCCTTTTTTGGTCTTTTGCAGGAGAACCAACTCCAATAATTCCTAAAAGTTTCTCCTCATAAAAGATTTAATGAGCAAGTTTAACCACCCGAATTCTGTAACCAAACCTGCCTTATATAAATTCATTGCCGACTTCAAAAGCCTTGCAAGATAACTCATACTCTGGCATGAGAGTGATGTCAAGGGAAGAGGCTAGTTTTTATAACTTTGAGGATTGATTTGATGGCACCATTTCAAACAGTTGAATTTGTTCTGACTCTGAAAGCAAACTGTTTGGAGTTGACCCCCCTTCCCTCTTCTGAAGAGGAACTTGGTTTTTAAAGGTCTTTGGTCATACCTGGGGCACTGGTTTAGCAAGTTGTGTTCTGAGGTGTGGGGGTAGTGTTAGTCTTTGCGAGTCTGTTTTGGTCTATAGCTGAAGACACACATCTTGATCCCTTTATGCTATAGAGTTCTATTATGAGTCTCAAGATCACCTCTGAGGTCTGTGAGTGATGGCTTCACTCCCTCTCTCTGCCCCCAAAACCTTTATCCAGCAGCATTGAGAGTGGGGTAGCTCTGCGAAAGGGGACAGCTTAGTCTGCTATAGCAGAGGCTCTGATACAGCCCTGGTCCCTGGTACCTGATGCAGCATGCCAGTCATATTAGATTTGCACATCAGCTCTGCAAAGTGAGCCTCTTATATGCTCTCCTGTCTTATTTTTTAGCTTAATTGGGGGAGGGAGGACCTAAAACTTACGGAAAATTTTTATAAAGCATTTCTCTATCCCTTTACATAGAAGGCTCCATGCGTTCTTCAGAGCAACGACATCAGATTCTAATCACATGTCTCTCTTCATCTGAAACAGTTGCTCATTCTTTCCTTGACTTTTGTGACCTTGAAGATTACAAGCCAGTTATTTTGGAGAAGTCCTTCAATTAGCGGGTGTCTGGTGTGTCCTGGGGCTTCCACCCAGGTTGTGTATTTGGGACTGGAATGCCATAGAAGTGCAGCCATGCTCTCCCAGTGCACCCCAGTGGTGGCATACGATGTGTACTCTACCTGGTGCAGGCCGGGTTGACTTTGATCACTTGATTAGGGTGGAATCTGCCCAGTTTCTCCACTATAAAATTATTTCTTCTTCCTTTGTCGTTACTATTTTCTGGAGAGCTACTTTTTCTTTTCTTTTTTTTCCTTATTGATTAAGGTATTACATATGTGTCCTTATCCCCTCATTGCCCCCCACCCCACCCCTTTCCATTCATGCCCTCACCTCCTGGTGTCTGTCCATTGGTTATGCTTACATGCATGTATACAAGTCCTTTGGTTGATCTAGCCAGTTTGCCTCAGTGGAGAGATACTTAGAGACATGAGGAAATCTCTCATATTGCCCTCCTTTGTTAGCATCCATTAATGTTTTCTTGCTTGAATTAATTATTACTCTAATGATGACCACATGGAGATTTTCTGCCCCATTTTTGCCCCAACATTTATTAATTGGCATTCTACTATAAGGAGCAGCTTTCTTTTCCCCACTTTACTTAGTCATTTGTGTCGATATGGATTTATGGATTCCTGTTTTAGTCAGTGGGTTGCAATTTGTTATTAGTTTTTATTTTAATACTCAGATTTTATTTTGATCATCAGTTATTTTAATTGTTCCAGATTTGGCCAATGAGCCCCATCAAGCCAGGTTCCTGTGTCCTTTTCCCAGGTCCCTGTCATTCTTTTAAGCATTTTCTTTACTTTCTGTCGTAACAAGAGGTTCCAGGCTCATCATCTTTCCCCTTTTCTCGAAGGAGTCCTAGTTCTTAATGGAGCATGGTCTCAAGAAACCAAGATCTGGGTGCTCCGTGTGTTCACCACCATGTGGGCTGTCACTGCTCTCAGGACCTCTCAGTGCCCAGAGCTGGGAACACACACACACACACACAAACACACACACAAACACACACACACACACACCTAGGAACATATACACATATACCTATATGCATATATATGCTTACATTTACATATATTTCTACATCTCTATCTGGATACTTCCAATTCATTGCCAACAGGATTCATCTTAACCTCCCCCTCTGTACATCTACCTCTCTTTTCTAAGAAACCTGACTCCCTCTGTCCTCAATACATTTATTTACTCATTGCTCCATTCCCCCATATGTGGTCAAGCACTCTTCTCCCCCTGCACCAACACTGCCCTTATACACCCCAGCCCTCATCAGGCTGCTTTCTCTTGGATTCTTTCCAACCCCTGGTATATATCAGGTTGAATTCTGATATATTTTCCTGTTAAATCTGGGCCTCCCTGGATGGTGAACATTACTTCCTCAGAAGTCACTCAGGATCTTCCTGAGGCAGGGCACAATGTACCCTCAAAGGAGCCTGCTTGCTTCAGACATGATTTGGAAGAGGAAAGAGGCTGCCCCAGAGGGAAGTCCTCTTCCGCCCGGGAGTTCACAGAAGGGGATCCATGTGCCCTTAAGAAGACACCACTGTAGCCATCTGTGTGTAGTGGGGCTCTGGCCTCCAAGCAATGCCTCTTCATTGTACCCTGACCATCTTGCAGGAGGCCATGAGAAGAGATCATATTTGTTTTAGTGAAGGTGGGGCTACAGCAGGGCCTCCAGGGTTTGACTGCCCTGTAAGCACACCACCCTCCTGCTTTGGCCCCTTCAGAAGTGTGGTACACCTTGTCTATCTGTCCATCAGTTTACTGCAGCATTCAGCATAGATTTCCTGTGCATCTTCAGGGTTAGCCTGGCACCAGATACAAAGTTAGTGAATGTTCACTGGCAGTAATTTCTGGGCCCGCTGCCCACACTGATCAGCATAGGTCAGCCCCATGGGTCAGTGGCTGTTAGCATTGGCTCTGCATAGGGCTCAGTGGTCGCCATCAATGTGTAGCCACAATATGAGCATTGCAGAGCCAGCTCTAAGAGCTTTAGAAGTTTTCTAAATTGTGAATTTCATCTCAATTTTTTAGTTTTATATTGCCAGTCGTCTTCTGAATAACCGTAAACTTTGGAAATGTAATTCAGTATTTTCCTTCTAAAAAGGAACATCTGGCAGCATGTCTTCCCCTGCATCCTGTTTTGTCTGATTTCCCGAGTGTGGTTTTTATGACCCACAGCTCTCGTATGGGAGAGACACCACCCCACTAACACAGGCTCTAGAAGCCTGGCAGGCTCCAGTCCTTTTTACTAACTAGCAGTGAGAGTTTCTGTAATCCTATTTTAGCCCAAGGAGAGCAGTTTGGCTCACCAACATGTCGACAACAGGAAGAGGGCCCTTCTGTTTTACTCAGAATTCTGATTTGACTTTGTTTCCTACCTAAAGTGGTCTGACAAAGCATTTGTGATGTCATTTTAGTGTATAATTGGTTGGTTTTTAGTGTATGCATAGAGTTGTGCAGCTGTCACTGAAATTAATTTTAGAACATTTTAATCACCCCCCAAAAGAAGTCCCATATCCTTTAGCAGTCATTCCTCATTCTGTCTTTCCCAGCCCCTGGCAACCATGAATCCACTTTCTGTCTCTGGATTTGTGTGACCTTTTGAGGTATCTTTTAAGTCTTTACTTTCTTCCAACAATATGGAATTGTTTTCTTGACTTCATTTTGGGTTGTTTGTTGCCAGTGTATAGAAACACACTGATTTCTGTATGATTATCTTGTGCCCTGAAATCTGGCAAGGGTTTTTCCCGATATGTTGGACCTTAGCACAAAAGCAAGGCTGCCTCTGGTGGCCTAAAATGCTGCTGTCCCTCTGCCTCTCCAGATACAGACCTGGCCTGTTGGAGTCACAAAGCTTTTTATGCTGATCCTTCCCGCCAAGGATTGCATTAAACTGTCTGTTCCACCCCACCCCCTTCATGAGATGGGCAAAGTCACCAAGATGCATTGATTAAGGGATCTGTGGACGGTGGCTAAGCAGAAACCAGGTTTTGAATATCCCAAGAGCCCCTGTATTTGTCAGCCTGAACTCAAGTCCTGGGGGAGGCCCCACCTCCTCACATGTGGCCAGGACAAACAACCCTGCTTCCTTCTTCCAGGCCTTCCGGTGCTCTCATTAAGCAATGAGACAAAGCTCTCCAGGCATGTCTAGAAAGAGAGCAAGTCCACTATGTGCCACTCTTGATCTCTTGCCAAAGAAAACATGTTTCATTTCCCACACATCTGTTGGTAGTACAAAGAGCTCTCCTGACAAGTGCTCTAGGAAAGAGAAATGCATCTCTGGAGACCTTTATTCGGTGGCCCCGTGACATTCTCCAGGGCCTGCAAGTACAGCATGGCTTCCAAGGTCCTGGCAAAGTCCAGCCTGGCACTCACCTTCTGGATGGAAGGGCTCCTTGGTGGAGTGGTCACCCTCACTTCTGTCTTGCACCTTTGACACCCTCTCGTCTTCCATTCGCTGTACTTTGCCCTGAGCCACACTTCCTGCAATCCCTGCCTCCTCACGCAGGCTGCCATACAGCCTTGGTAGTTGGATAAGACTTCTGCATTTCTGTTTCAGTTTGAAATCATTTCCCTTGTTCTCTAGGCCCCTGGCTACTGAGGCCCAGACAACAACCCTCTCCTGCCCCTGCTCCCTCCCAGCCTCACCACCCCACACTAGGAAGGCTTTCTTTTTCTTCTTTTTTTTTTTTATCTTTTGTCTTGTGCTTGTAGAGGAAAAGAGCAGTGGGTTCCGGTTGAAGCCACCAACACTGATCCATGGCCAGGCACCCAGTGCAGGTAGGTGCCCACATTGGAGGAAGAGAGGAGAGTGGCTTTCTCATACCCTTCCAGGCTTCTGCACAGCTGCCTAAGGCAACCCACCAGTGCACTCTGGGCTGGTACCTGACACCTGAGCTGTGGAAAACCACTATAAAGAGCCTGTCAGACCAGGGAGCTTCTCTACCCTGAAGTGGAGGTGACAAGGGAACAAGCTTGGGTTGGTATGGGAGTTTGGGCTCTGTGCCCAGTGATAGCTCAGTTGGTTCCAGCTGTCTTTCCAGAGCATTCTAGCCCCAGCACGCCATATCATTAACCCTGATTTGCAGAGTGGCCTCAATTCAATAGCACACTGTTCATGAGCAAGGCCAAGTGATGGCGCTCTGGAGACCTGTCAGGTCCAAAGGGAGCCCAAGCAGGGCCAAAAATGTTTTCTCGTGGTCCTCGCCCTAGTTGTATTTGACCAGAGGTGTTTTCTCAATGTGGCATTTTTAAAAAGCAGGTGCTGCCCTAACTGGTTTGGCTCAGTGGATAGAGTGTCAGCCTGGGGACTGAAAGGTCCCAGGTTTGATTCCGGTCAAGGGCACAGGCCCAAGTTACAGGCTCAATCCCCAAATAGGGGACGTGCAGAAGGCAGGCAATCAATGATTCATCATTGATGTTTCTATCCCTCTCTTGCTCTCCTTTCCTCTCTGACATCAATAAAAATATATTTTAAAAAATAAAAAGCACGTGCAGAGGGTGCCTTTCTGTGATCCCAAGCAGCAGCCTGAATTCTGGGGGATTTCCTGTGGCTTTGCTGCTTTCCCCTCAGGTCTGTGCTTGACCCTTGAGCCCAGCACTTGAGAACCCGAAGCATTAGTGTACTCACTGGGTTAATTCACAGACATGATCAGTTACATGGAAATGTCATTTAATCACATCTAAAAATAGCAATAGCCAAACTCTGTATCTTTAGCGGTAAAGAAAGTGTCTTGGGTTTGTTTTTTTAATGTGCTTCCCTCCTGGCTGCTGTGGCTCAGTGGTTGAGCATGGACCCATGAACCAAGAAGTTGCAGTTTGATTCTGGTCATGGCACATGCCCGGGTTGTGGGATCGATCCCCACTAGGGGGCATGCAGAAGGCAGCTAATCAATGATTCTCTCTCATCATTGATGTTTATATCTCTCTCCCTCTCCCTCCTCTCTAAAATCAATAAAAACATTTTCTTAAAAAAAAAACCCAAACACAGATGTGCTTCCCTACAGAGTCTAGTCTGTGAGGAACATGAAATGGATTGCTGGATTTAATTTGTCTGTAAAGTGCCTGAGAGCCTGAGCTGTTGCATTTCTGCCCACGAGGTCCAAGGGCGCTGGGCAAACCGACCTCTGTTCCCAGGTCTGCCAAGCCAGAAGCCCAAGGAGCAGCAGCGGAGCGTGCTTCGCCCGGCAGTGTTACAAGCCCCACAGCCAAAGGCACTCTCACAGGCCGGTAAGAAACGCAGCCCTGGTACAGGCTGGCATGGCAGAGTAGATTATTACAGAAGTCGCTTCTGGGACAGCCATGTCATATCTGCCAAATGCACAAATAAATAAAGTGCTGGGAAAGCAGCCTTTTATATTCCTGGTGAGCCTAGTAAAGACATGAGGCAAAGCCTGACTGCTGGTGCAAATGTGCCTTGTGCACGCCCTGGCCTCATAAATGCTGCCTCCACTTC